TGCTGTAGGCATTTTTCACTAATGCATTAATGGCATTTAGTTGAAGACTTAGAGCATGGAATATAGGAGTTTTATTTGTAAATTCTTCAAATCAGGATATAATACACTTGGCATAGAGATTTTTACTTGTTTACTGGTTTTGTAACTTCTGCTACAAAGGTGGAAAGATGTGGAACTGAGCAAGAAAATCTTACAGGGTAAACACCTTCTAGACTCTTCTGCTTTTCTTTTTTCATCTGTGTGCTTCGTTGTCACAGTGTCCTGGTATTTCTTTCTGCTGTTAACAGTATATTTGCTTCAAGTTTGTCTATTTATTTATTTAGTTAGTTAGTTATTAACATTTCTGTGGTTGGAGAACAGGTCTTACAAACCTCAGTGGACCGATTTTTACCAAGGCTTAGAACCTGTTATACTAATGGTGTAAAACATCTGTGGATAGTATTAAAGACCATATAGTTATCTTGTCAGTGTTGTCCCCAGTAGCATTTAAAACTAGTTTTGCGGCCAGTTTATTAGAGCAATTAAAAATAAAGTGGAAAAAACTCAACTATCCTGGGTGTGATCTCTCCAATTTAGAAGTTGAAGCCCAGTAATGGAGCACTGAAGTGTTATAGTGGTAGATGAAAATTGCAGGGAGATGTGAAATTGTAGGGAAGAAATAACTAATATGTAATATTGTATATTATATATTGTAAGCACAAAGTCTTACTGCAATTTTTCTTTTTGAGAGGGCATAAAAAATATGCTCCAAATTAGTATATTAAATTTTATTATAAAAATAGTATAATTTGTTAGTATAATTTCAAATGAATATGGTAGCTACTTACCTTTGGACTTGGCTTCTTTAGGTCATCACTCTACGGAACAGCCCCAACTCTCTCAGTCTGTCTTCATAGGAGAGGGACTCCAGCCCTCTCATCATCCTCGTGGCCCTTCTCTGGACACGCTCCAGCACATCCATATCTTTCTTGTGCTGTGGGCTCCAGAACTGGACGCAGTACAACAGGTGGGGCCTCACGAGAGTAGAGTAGAGGGGGAGAATTTTGTTCTAAAGCTTGGAGTTATGAAGGAAGGATTTACCAGGGGCAAAAAAAGTCCACTTTCCATGGACTGAGCATTCTTTGAGACACCCTGTCCCTAGATATATTCGCAGTGCAGTTACCTTCCTTCTTAAACACGGATCCAGTATCATGTAATCCTGCCTATCTGGGTCTTAAAAGAACCGAGGAGGCAAAAGTGCCGTGAGCCTGCTTGTACAGTGTTCGTTAAAATTGTGAAAGAAGTAGCATGAATGCCAGCACAGGTAGTTCTAGGATATTTTTAAAAAATTAAAAAATGGACTTGACAAATTGTATAGAGGCAATTGCAGGCTGTGGATGTGCATTTGGACAGCGTGCCTTCAGACATTCCTTGTTGTTCTGGGAGTACTTAGCAGTTGATAAGGAAATACTCTAATAATACTCCTAAAAGAACACTTTTTTTTCTTAGTAAATTGTCGAAATAGCCTTCAGTACTGCAGTAGCCTGCCTCAGCTAAAAGTAACCTTTACCACAAAACCTTTCTTCTTTACTTTCATCCTAAGACTTTTGTGCAACTTTTTAATGACATCCAATTTAATGTGATTTTTTTAAAACACACGTATTCATCAAATGGTCTGACAGCTTATTAAAAATTTTCTTGTGCAATGCAGCTAATTAGGACATCTCATTTAGAAAGTAAACTCTGTGAAAATAAAAACTGTTATCTTCTTTTGTGTAGAAAAACACTTAGAGAACAAATAGCTCTCACATGATAACCTCAAAATCAAGAAATTCACACACTCATAAAAAATTGAGACAAGTTAATTGAGCCATGATAATCTTGTTCTTAATTGCCCATGTGTAAAAATGTCATTGCCTTCCTGATAGCATGTGGAGCTGCTACTACTTAGCTTCAGGTTTTGTGTCAAGTTAACTTTCTTTTTAAGGTTTGTAGTAAATCTTTGATACCTTGCAATTTCTTGTGCTGGTTTCATGTTTGGTTAGGGGGAAGAAGAACAAATTCTTAGACCTCAGCCTATAAGTTTTCATCCTTTTATCTTAATTACTGCTTGAAGTACCATTGCCAAATCTTAAATAATTCTTACATTTATCTAGTTTCCCAATCATTGCGTTTCTACTTTCTAAAATTGTTACCTTCTCCATGTGATACAAAAATGTCCTGTTTATTTGCCACAAATGCAGTGTAGTGAACATCAAAGGTGTGATTGTTGCATAGACTGCAGTAGAAAAGAACGCAGCTTCTTGCTCGCCTTCTGCAAGACTGCGTGAAAATGTGAGTTGGTTTGTGCTAAACAGAACCAATTCTGTTCAATTATTTTACTTTTCAGCTCCATCTCTTCTTGGAGGCTGCACTTTCTGAAGTTAGAGGTGTGTTTTTGCAGTGTGTGCTACTGGCAGTGACAACACCTGATGTTTACTGCCTGGGACTGGGATGCAGAAAGGCTCTTACTGATACTTATTCCTGTAGTGACCAAGGCCACTGCTGGCTCTTGTGTGCCACGCTGGGGGTTCCAGGTAGTAAAGGGGGGTCACAAGGAAGTAACAGGTTGCACTGCCGGGGGGTAATAGACAGGACAGGTGACCAACAAGAGTATTCTGTTCCATATTCGTCATACTCCGTATAAACTGAGGGATCATGGGAGTTAAGGCCTCTTCTTCAATGGCCAGCGTCTGAGGATGGCTCCATATGTTCTTCTGCCTTTGATCCTGATCCTGAGTTTGTGAATCGAGCTCCTGTGTCTGGTTCCCCTCTGCCGCTGAGCCTGGGGCTTCTCCAGTGACTACCTGCCAGCGTAGGCTGCTTCTTCCGTGTTCTTTCATTGCAACACCAAGAAAAAAGCTTGATTAAACACCAAAATCACCAGTTCTTGGTTTTACCTCAATTCCCACAAGTCTCCCAAATTAGTTTTAAAACAGTGTTTCTGTTCATTGTTAATGTTTATGTAACAGTGTGGTTTGTTATGAATATAACTTTGACAATAATATCAATACTTTTGCAGGTTTTGAATTTTTGAATTCTTTTTTGTTTTTTGCTTCTTATACCACTGTCCAGTTTGACTTTCATAAGCATCGTTATGTTGTAAATGCATTGTTTTTAACACAGAAATTATTTTATTTTCTGATTAAATATGATAAAGTACTGTATAGAGAAAAGTACCATGTGCTTATTTTGTGTAAAAATATACATAATGTGCACATAAATGTATACATAGTGTGCACATAAATGTGATTTTCTGTATCAGTTATTAATAGAAAGAGAAGCAGATGGTATTTCAGGTAATTCAGACTCTGTTACAATTTTAGCCAAGTGAACAAACTTTGATGGTATTTAGAGGGCTTCCAGGTTCTTTTATGAAACTATTTCTGGTTTTTTGATTGTGTTTAAAATAAAATTAGGGTTACTTTATAGAGGACATGAATATAAAATGTATATTGACCTGTAATACTGAGTTATAAGAAAAGTTGGATTTTTTTGCCAAAAGAAACACAAAGCTTAAATTTTCAGTATACCGTAAGCATCTCAGTGCAGCTCCATAAAGTAAAAGAATATGAATAATATTTAGTTAAGAAGATACCAGCCTTTTTTTCAAGAAAGGTGAATGGATTGGCAAGACTGCCTTACTTAGCTTTACTGCAGCAGTCAGATGGATGAGAACATGTGGGTTGCCCATTTCTGAAAAGAGCTACCTTTTGAAGTTGTATTTGATTGATGCAGTCTAGGACTGGCTTAAGAGCTGGAATGACCCGTTCTGCCTTCCCTGCTGTCCTGGTGTTCATCAGCTTCAACTTTCACTCGACAGACTAGCTGGTTTTAACCTCCCTTCACAGAACCACAGAATCACAGAAACGGTTGAATTGAAAGGGACCTCAAAGATCACAGAATCACAGAATTATTGAGGCTGGAAAAGACCTCCGAGATCATCAAGTCAAGCCTATGATCCAACACCACCACATCGGTCAGACCAGGGCACTAAGTGCCACATCCAGCCTCTCCTTAAACACCTCCAGGGACTATACTACAACTTCCCTTAAGGTAGTTTTAGAGAGTGATAAGGTCCCCCCTGAGTCTCCCCTTCTCCAGGCTAAACAGCCCCAGCTCCCTCAGCCTCTCCTCACAGGACTTTCCCTCCAGTCCCTTCCCCAGCCTCGTTGCTCTCCTCTGGACCCGCTCCAGCCCCTCAAGGTCTCTCTTGCAGGGAGGGGCCCAGCCCTGCACACAGGGCTCGAGGGGAGGCCTCACCAGGGCTGAGCACAGGGGCAGAATCACATCCCTGCTCCTGCTGGCCACACTGTTCCTGATACAGGCCAGGATGCCACTGGCCTTCTGGGCCACCTGGGCAGATCATCTAGTTCCTGCAGGGGGAACTCCATGATTTTTAGACTACTAGGTTTATTTTTTCAGAAAAAGTGTGATATTTTAACTAGTCATATGAAAGAGTTACAAGAAAAACATATTTAGTTTAGTACAGTCAAATTACAAAATACAAGTTATGCTCATTAAAAAAACTGTACACAGAGGCATGTGTATATAAAAGTCATGCAGTGCTAAGTATTATGTAAATTTTTCTATAAAAAAGTAAATTATGTATAATGTGGCTTAATGGATTATGTTTATATTTTGTGACTGCTAGAAGACTGTCTAGGTAGAATATGAGTTCTAATTCAAATATATCTGGAAAAAAAAATATACCACTTTCCAATGGTGTCTTTTTATTTAATGAAAATAACATTATAATTTTAGAAAAAAATAGTTTTTCACTGTTTGACTATGTTACCTTATAAATATTTCTGCTAACTTCAGATTCTGGAAGGTTGTACTTTTAATAAGAGAAACTATCTCTTATTCAATGTTATGTAAAGCAATATCAACCCAAGGTGATTTCTTTTATAATTTCTGGTTTGTGCTACCAAATTTTTTGAAGCTAATATTTTATTAACTGGACTTCTATTTTCTTCTAGCTGACAGCACGATCGCTGCCTTCCATACAGTCCGATGAGAGACTACAACCTCTGCTTACTCGTCTCAGGTAGCATAAACTGAAAACATGGGTATATTCTTTCATGCAGATTAAAATAATTGTATTAGTAGAATGTTTTAGCTACAATTTTTTTTTTTCGGATGCCACCTTTGTGCATTTGACTTTGACTGGAACAAAAAACCCTGAAATATAATTTACAGAGTTGGTGTTGCTTCTAAGTAACAAGAAAATACTTGTAACTTATAAAATCTTTTTTTTTTTTTTTATGGTAAAGACAAAGTTGTTAAGTTTCTTTATGAAAAAAACAGATTCCAAATTACACGGCTCAGAGTAGGTCTTCCTTGTTGGAAATATTTTGTGTTCTATGTCGTTTTGGGAAAATTTCTCCATCACTGTCATTGATGAATGGAGTCCTATTTTCTTCTTCTAATGGATCTAAAGAGAGCTGAAAATGCAAACCCTTAAGAATGCGCTACAACACATTTGAACTAGCCTACCTCTCTCTTAGTAGAATACAGCATATAGAAGCTTTCTACTTTCTTTGATGTGTTTAGAGAAGAGGAAGAAGAAAAAATACTTCTCTGACGTTGCTCAGATTAAGCATAGATTTGGGCTCTTTCTGATACACGTGATTGCTTTTTTACCACTTTATATTGTTTGAGGGTGTTTTCTTACTAGAGTAGTATACAGGAGGACAGAGACCGGACAATTAGAGAGAGGTGCATTGACTTAGAAACCTTGAATAATTTAGCTTGAAGTGAACCTCTGGAGATCGTTTAATCTAGCCTCTGCTCAGTGCAGATCCGGTCAGATCGAGTTGCTCAGGTATTTATTCAGTTGAATTTTTAATGTCTCTAAGGGTAGAAATTTACTTAAATATTGAATGTCAGTAATGAAAGTTCTGTTTTTGAACACGTACAGCTTTGAGTTAAGATCAGTGGAATGGCATTCGATGAATTAGAAATGGAAGTTGTGAGGCTCTACCATGACAGCACTGCATTTAAATGCAGATCTAGTTAGCCTGTTCTTTATTTCCTATGGTGCTCTACAGCCCGAGGTATCTGTACTCAAAACCTGACATTTTATTTTGATTTAAAAACAAACAAACAACCCTCATAATTTTTATTACATAGGAACTGTTCCATGTTTTATTGCTTTTAGTGTAAATCAGATCAGCTTTCATTGTATCTTTGCTTATTGACATAGGATTGAACTTTGTTCAATCGCAATGACTGAAAAAAAATACTGCAGTGTAACTGTTACATAGCTGGTTAGGGGTTACATCTGAATGCCAATAACCTCCTCTGTTCTTATCACCATACGTTTTGCTGGGGTTTTAAAAAATGGCGTACCTTTCTCCATTTGAAGCTAGAGAGCAATTAAGTTAGCTTTCTATATACCGTGCTCTCCAGGAATAATGACTGAGAAATTTGAAATTTCTTTTGATACATGCTGTGCATCTGTGTAAGTGGAACAGGCTTCAGTATCACAGCAGTCACAATCCTCTCTGCTCTTTTTTTTCTTTTTTTATATGAGAAAAGTAAAGGCTGCAAAAAAAGCTAGTTTAACATCTGGTACTTCAGCTGGGATACTGTATCCTACATTTATGCAAGAAGGTATTTTATACGCGTTCTTAGGTTAAGTTGGATGTGTATGTTTAACAACTGGTAAATTACTTCCATTTTGCTTTTGTGAAAATGGAGAGACTGTTCCCAGTACATGTTTCCACCAACTGAAAAATCTACACGAATGCTTCAGAGTTGGATTTTTGGAAGTTCTTTTAAAATAGTCAAAATACATCAAAGCTCACAATTTGAAAAAGAAGGTCTGGCAGTGAACAGACAAATGACCAAATAGATCTTCCCTGTTACTTATTTCTGTGAATCTGTGATTCTGTTTTGCTTCACCTCTCTCACGAGAAGTGAGAATATTAGTTAATTGTAGATTTTCCTCTCCCTCCATTGTGTGAATTCTTAGAGCAGTATTTTATGTTTGGCATATGTCAATAGAGCTTTATCAGGGGAACAAAAGCTGAGATAGAAATGTATAGGAAGAGCATAAAGTTGAAGGTTACAGAGCATTGTTTGGTTGTTAATGCCTCACACATTTTTTGGCAGCTCTTCGTGTCTGCTTGTGGCTTTTAAATTAGTTAGTCCTCAGAAAAGGTCATTTTATTGTGGATTATGTCTGCATAGATATTTTAATCCATGTCTATTTTTTAAGAATTGACATAACATGTATTTTGTAATTGGATTGTTCTGGACTAAATACATATTTTTTCTGTGACTTAGGTCCTCTTTTTGTCCTCTTCTGTTTCGTTGGTGCTTTCTGTATTAGTTGTACTAGACCAAAAATAATCAAAACCCCAACATTTTTCGTTAAAACATTAATGAATTTGATGCAAGGTTTGTCTTACCTGCTCATAGCCAGCTACAAGGAGATTTAAATTGCTAAAATTTTAGCACTTTAATAGAAGTTGAAACTTTATGTCTAAATGCATGAGAAGAACACTTCTGCAACTCCTGCTTTCAAAGGAATCTGTATGGGTTTTGTCATGAAATTGAAGGTTCATAACACATTGCTGTTTAAAATCTTCAGCGGAATAATTTCAGAGACAGACAAAAACGAGTGTTTGTAATACCATCAAACTGCTCTAGGATTGTGCCTGCACATGAATTCTAATGAGAAGCTGAGTTGACTTTGTTTAATCTGGTGGAGAGGAGGCTTAGGAATGATCAAATTGCAGCCTACAGCTGTTTGAAGGGCAAACACTGCAGTATTGGAATTCTCGATGGTGCCAGACAATTTAACGAAAGACAGCGGTCATGTAGAGCAGCTTGGGAGCTTCAGACAGGACATCAGGAAAAATGCCTCTGCCGGAACGATAGGTGCAGCAGATTGCCCAGAGATGTGGAATCTCAGTTTATGGAGATTTTTAGGATGCAGCTAGAAAAATACGTCTCACCTCACCAGTGTCGACAGTAGTCCCAGTTGAAGTAGGACGTGGGACTAAATGGTCTTCTAACTATCTTTAAAACAAGTATTTTGCATCATTCTGTTAATTCTGTCTTCAAAATGATAACTCACAAGATTGATACAGAAACACAGTGTTTTGCAAGACTGGATTTTTTTTTTCCCAACAGATAACACAGTACCCATGCAGACATCCATTAACTACAGTAGGCTTGCCTAGTGCTCCAGTGTGTGCCAGAAATGAGACTAAAGAACACATGGATGCACGTATAATTAAACACATGATTTGTACTGTGGTGAAGTCAACTCTTAGCTATATACTTTTCACACTTTACAGTGCTGAAATGTCACAAAATAATCATCATCATTTAGCTACATTCTCTTTTTTTCTGGAATTAACCTTTATATGCCTTCAGAAAGATTTAAAAAATTTTCTTTGTTAGATTGCTTGCAAAATCTTTCTTGCACAAAGAAATTTGTTCTTACCCATGCTTTGCAACCTGATTTTTGGACCAGTATGCTGTATCCAAATCCTCTGTTTGCTTTATTGCCTGCTGTGCTGTCAGCACTTGAGTTCTGTTGGATTCTGTTGTAAGCATTTCTCTTGACCTATTCTGCCAGCTACATATAGATATAGATATAGATATAGATATAGATATAGATATAGATACACATACACATACACATACACATACACATACACATACACGAAAATAAATATAAAATATATATAAATATGTAAAAATACATATAAATATAAAAAATATATATATAAATATAAGTCCTGTTTATATCCTTGTTCAAGAAGTCATTAGATTTGATTTGAAATCCCTTTAGCGACAATGTCTATGGGACTATTTCTGCTGTAGTTTAGGATTAGCAGGGTTTAGCTCAGGTGTCAGAAATAGCTTCATTGAAGTATCAACGAAAGCTGAGGCAGCACATGCAAAGTCCTGTGCTGCTTTTCCTAGACAGCTGCTGTCTGGAGTTAATGTGTTTGTGTGTTAGTACTGCAGTAAAAGCCTTCCCAGCTTTTTATTGGTACACTGAAGTAATTTTTGAATTTTCACTTTTCCCCCATTGTACATGTTCGTAGTGATACGTCAGGTTTTCTGTTTGTTTGTTTTAAAATGCTGCACAAATAGCAGAGTAGAAGGGGTTCTTGATTACTGAAGGAAGGCAAAAGTGAACCCTGCCTTCAGAAAGAGTGAGGAAAAGGATCCACAGAACTAAGGGCTGGTCAGCCTCATCTCAGTTCCAGGCATATGAAGGACAAGAAGGTGTTTATGAATGGCCAGCATGGATTTGTGAATGGGAAATTATGCTTGACTAACGTCATAGCTGGTCATTTTATAATAGAAGGCACAATGGATGTGGGGGAAGCAGCGGGTATCTATCAGGACTTTAAACAAGATTTTTGACATTGTCTCTTGTAACATCCTCATCCGCAACTGGTAAAGTATGGGTTAGGGAAATGGAGAATGAGGTGGACTGAAAACTGACTGAAGTGCTATGTTCAAAGGTTTATGATCGGAGGCATTGGGACCAGCTGGAGGCCAGTCGTTAGTGGAGTACCTTAGGGATCGATACAGGGTCCTATAGTGTTTAACTTCCTCTTTAATGTCTTGGGTGATGGGGCAGAGTGTGACTCAACAAGTCTGGGATGACAGAAGAGTGGGAGGAGTGGTTTACACTAGATGGGTGTGCTGCCTGTCAGAGCGACAGGCTGGAGAAGTGCTCTGACAGGAACCCTGTGAAATCCAACAAAGGGCAGTACCGAGCCCTGCGTCTGGGGAGGGATAACACCGCATCCCACTAAAGGCTGAGGGCTGAATGGCTGTGAAACAGAGTTACAGAAGAGGACCTTGAGGTCCTGGTGGACACGCGGCTGACTATGAGCCACAAGCATGCCCTTGAAGCAAAAAAAACCCAACCCTCACAGTCTCTTGGGTGGCATTGGGGTGAGCAGTCCCCGCAGATCGAGGGAGGTGAGCCTTCCCCCCTCCTCAGCAATGGTGAGGCCACCTCTTCAGGGCTTTGTCCGATCCTCGGCTCCCCATTACACAGGAAGAGAGACTGAGAGAACTAAAAGAGGAAAACATAAGAAAGCACTTTTTTACTGCCGGGGTGGTCAAACACTGAAACAGGTTGCTTAGGAGGTTATGGTGTCTCGGTCCTTGGAGATGCTCAAAACCCAGCTTGATGAGATGCTGGGCAACCTGCTGTAGTTAACTGATGCCTCGCAACCCCTTTCACATAAACCACGGGAGGGTTTCTCTACCATGCTGACTCTAATGTTGGTTTTATAAATCTTAATTTATTTACATAACTGTTAAATACTGTTTTCTTGGGTTTGCCCGATATAAAGTATTTATAGCCCCAAATAACTTCTTTTTGAATTAGTAAAATTAAATTTTTTTTAACAGCTTTAAATGATGCTGTATTGTTTGCTTTTTTTTTTCCAGCCATTCTTATGTTGGCCCAGATTACAGTGTGCAAAAGAACACTGGAAAAATTTCTCTGGAGCAGATTGATGCTGTAAGTCCTCTGTGTTTATAGTTGTATGTTGATATGTAACTTTCAAAATTCAAGTGCTTTACGTACAGCTAATATATAAAGCCTTTATTTTTTTTAATTAATATGTGCTTTCTAACTCTTCAGAACTAGTTGAATGAAGCTGTGGTAAAGGTTAAAATGGAGCAGAATTAACTGAAAATGCATCTAATCAGGATTGAGACTGGAGCTATAATGAATTGCTTAATTTGCTGCTTAATGTTGTGTACTTTCACAAATACCTAATATGATTATAAACAATTTAACAAAATTTTCGTATTTAATAATTTTGTAGCCCATGATGTTTAGTTTATGATTATTGTGTTGCAATATTAGTCTTTTCAGTGCTGACTTTCTGACATTTGACTTACAGAAGGGTTTTTCAAAGCAAAAGATTAAATAAAAGGGATTGAAAAACCACCTCAGTGGTGCAGAGACAGTTAGAACCGCATTACAACTCCCTTATCTGAACTTTAGAAATCATTTGTGTACTCAGTGTCTGTCTGAACCATGACAGTGTTCCTTTGGTAGTGAATTCTGTGGCATGACTTACCTCTTAAAAAAAAAAATGCAAAGGCCAAGTAAACTTGAACCTTTTTATCTCCAAGAACTTGCTTTATAAGAAATAGTATTCTTCAGGGGAAAAAACTTGCAGATCAATTGTAATGGATTTTAATTCTGCTTCTAGTTTTTCAAAGATGTTTAAAAACCTCAAACAATCCTCCATACCCCCTACCCCAGAAAACTCGAACAAAGGTCACCTTACCATTCTAGAAGCTAAAATAAGGAAGAAGCAAGAAACATTGTACTGGAACTGTGAATATATTTTTCTTAAGTGTGATTAAACCTTTCTTACTTTACAACTGAAAACATTTTGATACTACCACCTGAATTACTCTGGATTTGGATTTTATTCTTGAGATGATTATTGGATGTGATGGCTTAATAACACACTTGTGTTAGCATCAGCCCCAGGGTGATCTACATGGGGCCGGTTAGCTCAGTGGTTTGAGCGTGATGCTGGCAACAAGGACCAACACCGAGGCCGCGCGTTTGATTCCCGCTCGGTCTCCATGTGTTGCCAGGTCTAGTCGAGAGGTGGCATCCCTGCCCACAACAGGGAGGTTGGACTAGATGATCTCTAAGGTCCTTTCCAGCCTAGGCCATTCTATGATCTTTTCTTTCCACCATTGGTATTTTCAACTGGAGCTAATTAGTAATCACAGTAACCATGTATCCTACAAACTAGGTGATCAGTATGCCTTAAATACATTTTTTTTTCCCCTCAACAGCTTTCTGTGAAATCATTCCCTCTTTGCATGCGCCAGCTGCACAAATCCCTCCGTGATAACCATCACCTCCGTCACGGAGGCCGTATGCAATACGGCCTGTTCTTAAAAGGTATCGGCTTGACTCTGGAACAGGCACTGGAGTTCTGGAAGAAGGAATTTATCAGAGGAAAAGTAGATGCGGACAAGGTAATTCAACCAGTAAAAAATATCTTAAGTATGTGAGTGTGAAGATATAGTTGACGTATGCATTCTGCTGCCTGTTTGAATGGATGCTCATTAAAGCAGATAACTGGGCAAAAGGCACAGTAATATCTTTCAAAGGCGGGTGGGTTTCTCTTTTTGTTTACGATTTTATTAATTTTGTTAGTCGTTGTCCTGAAGCGTGGGAAAAAAAGGCAAGCCACAAAGAGACTTTTTATAGATGAGGACTAGAAAAAAATCTTTACCACTAAATCACTAGGAAACCAATGTCCTTTATGAAATACGGGTACTGTGTGACTAAATTAATTCACCAAGCAAGTAAGTGACCACAAACAGTATTATTCTTTTGTTGGTTTAAACAGATAAACAAACAAACAAACAAACAAACAAAACCCAAATAAATAAATAAATGGACAGTTGTGTGTGATATCAGCTTGCCTTAGCAAATTTACAGTCTAAGAATAAAACAAGAACCTGGAGGTGAGTGAAGATGGAAGAAAATCTTCAAGGAAGTAGTTAGAAAATGCTGTTTGGTGCGATGGGCAGTATTATTGACATATTAGTCATTGCTCTAACCCTTACTAATGTTGTTGAGAGTATTGTGAGTCAGGAAAATGTAACATACATGTGCTGCCTTTTTGGAACCATGAAAAACGTTTGCTAATTTTTGGAAGTTTGTGACTTGCTCCTTACCTTGAACAGGCTAGGAAGAAACAAACAAGACTTCCTCTCTCATCTGTCTCTGCCTGCCCTGATGTTTCAGACCTTATGTCAGTCTTATTTGGACTGTGGTATATACATCTAATGCCCCGAGATTTCAGCTTCCCAGAGTACTATGAAGTATTTCGGAAGTGTTTCGTAGACAATCTATTGTTAACATAGATTCTCTGGGACTTGGCTATTTATACAAGATACTGGGCAAAAAGTAATGCTGGCTGTAATGAGGTATGGAAACGATGTCTCTTTCAAGTCTTGGAAGATAGATCAAGTGGTCTGCAGATTCTTTGGGAAGAGGAAAGGTATTTGAAGGTATGATTTGAATAAGTACCTAAACCTCTGTAAATCTAGCTCCTTAAATGGAATATGATTTAAGAGGAGATACATATTTCATTAAAAAATAAATCCAAAATGATTCCCTTGCATTCCCTCATGTGGGTTTCAAGAAAGAATTTGAAGAGAGGCAGTATCTTAAATTTTGCAGTTGAATGCCAATTAATTACTAGTTGAATTCAGGAAAAAACAGACTTTTTAATTGCAACTTTCTGTGCTTAAAGGAAAATTGAAAGAATAAAACCAAGCTATCAGAAACAGCAGCAATACAAACATACGCTTTTGCTGTTCCTGCTTTAAAAAATACTGTGTGAACAGGTTCTACCTACTTGTGCTTTGAGCCTAGGTGTATGCACATCTGCAAAGACTTGTATGCACCTTGGATCCCGTTTTCAGTTACAGAGTTGCCTTTTTACTGTAGCATCACTTGATAGGCCCTAGAAAGAAATGAAGTTTTATGATACTGTGTTTAGCTTTGAATGTTAGAAAGCTTATTGTGAATGAAGCAAGGGTTGTAGTTACTGCGTTTTTCACAATCAGGCCGCTGTTGCCATGTAATTTTCATTCTTCTTCTGAAGTTCTAGAAACCAAATTCAGACTGGAGTAAAAAAAAAAAAAAGCCATTTTTTCCCACTTGTAACTGAAGTCAGTGTTTTTTTACAGTTAAATATCGTATAGCATTTAATGTCCTGAAAAAATGAAGATTAATACAATTATTATTGGTACTTTCTTGTTTTGACATTTTTATTTTCTGATACTCATGCCATCGTTCCTTTCCTGTAGAGTGGAGATAATTACACCATTTTGTCTTATTGGACCATTGTGAAGATACTTACATGATACTTGCTAAAGACTAAAATTAATTATTTGTTACTGACTGTTGCGTTGCAAAGAGGGAGTGTTCGATTTGCTGCAAATGGTTACGGTTTCAAAATCGTGTGTTCGCCTTTATCTTTAATGGCCACAACATTTATGCTCCTTCTCAACCCTAAGAGTTCTTGGCACACAACTTGAGTCTTTAGCAGGAAGGGTGACCTTGAGCGCACCAGGGGAGCACTGGGGCTCCTGTCACCAGGCTAAGCATAGGCACAAGGAAAATCTGCACCAAGAACAACTCCTCCTGTGCTCTGAATGACTGATACGGTCATATCCCAGGGCTCATTGATAAAAACGCTGTAGGAGAGTTATTAAGAAATTAGATTTTACCTTAAGAGAGGAACCTATAAAGTATGTTGTAAATGAGGTGTGAAACCATGTCCTCAGTGGAAAAGAAATACCGAGTAGTGCCTACAAAAGAAGCACTGAAACTGGTAGAGGTGCTCTGTTGGTGAGGGGACTGATCATGTACTGGCATGTTTACAAGAGAGACAAATTCACAGTGCAAAATAAACCATTTTTTTCTCTAGACACTGTAATTAAAATTACTCTGCAGATTGCTTGGCTAAGAGTGCCTAAATGGTAAATTATTGTTATTGAGGTGATAGGATCAAATGTCAAATCGTGGTAGAGACTTCAGACTGAATGGTTGTGCCAGTTGGCTTCATAACCTCAGTGTTATTTTAAGGCTAGTTTGTTTCTTCTGTAAAATGTGATCTTATTCTAAACGGCTATTAATTCCCATAGATCCTTTCACATCCTGTTCGTTGCTTAAAAAATAGTTCCCTCACCACTGCCCCACAAAAAAAGGGGGATAACTCCAGTATGCTTTAAAAATACATGAAACAAGAAGGTAACAAGATCAATCAAGACAAATTAAATAATTATAGTACAGTTGTAAAAATGCTTTGATAGTTGAAAAAATCCTCTTATAGCAGAGATCGTTGCTTGGCTTGTTTTCAGATCTATTTCTATGATTGGTCTGTGAATGTGAAATCAGAGACTTGAAAGATGATGCAGTATTTAGAACAAAGGAGAGAATGAAAGCTGGATTGGTTTCTTTAAGGCATTAGTCACTTACTTCTTTAGCTAACAGCCTGAAATCAAGATTTTTTTATACAGATGAGTGACTTTAAGAGAACCAATCCCTTTCAACTTTCCTTTGCTACATATGTATACTTGTGATACATATTCTTTTTCTTAACAGTATTTGGTGTCCGGTTGTACAAAATACTCTTCCAGTACTCTGTTTACCACTTTTCACAGAAGAGACAGTTGCTAATTGTGCACTTCTCTCTTGAAAAGTAACTCCTTTCATATTGCAACCTAATATTGCACTTATTTTATTATTGCTGTATATGCTGCTGAAGCGTGTCTGAAAATTGTGCAAGACTTAGGGTTTTTTTTAACCTATTTATGTAATATATCTCCAAAGCTTAAGCATTACTGTATTTCCAAATTATCCTGATTACAGAACCAGCTGTCTTGTCCTTATGACTTCTTAAAGAGAATGAGATGTGGCTCTTTAACTTGTGTGTTCTGCGACTCTTTCCTGGGCGATGTGGTTGCATTCAGGCTAGTGAAGTGTCTTACTCGTCCTGACTTAATTTGCCAGACCATCATATTGCAGTTTCATATGGCTTGTTGTTTCTGTAGCAGTTGGTTACCATCGGCAAGGAGCAGGTTCTTTTCTGGTTGTCTAAGGTTCCTGTCTGAGGGATGACTGTTCGTCCCTTCCTGCTAGTGAAGACATTTTCCTTGAAGAAGGAAGAGGAAAGTTTACTCAAATTTAATCTTGCTTAGGGTTAGTGATTGGTAAAGAAGCAAACTCTGCAGTGAAGCTTTTGAGCTTCAGTTGATTATTAAGTCTTTTAGATGTTCGTTCCACGCATGATGATCATGTATGAAATGGAGGGCAGACAACTTGCCAGCCATATACTGTATCAATTTGCAGAGGAGTAAATCTTCTACTCTGTTAACAAGTGATGAAACTTTGGGATGAAGATCACAGAATCACAGAATTGTTGAGGCTGGCAAAGACTCTGAGATTATCAAGTCCAGCCTCTGACCCAGTACATCCCAATGAGATATTTTCAGTGATGTGATTTTCCTGGCTCTTCCATTTCTTTTCCAGATGATCTTAGGAGGTGCCCGAATCTAGATTCAGGAATGAGACTTTACCTTAATTGCAAACAGCTGATCGGGAATGTCTCTACCAGGACCAACCAGAAATTCCATGAGGGAGGGCTTGGTCTAGAGACCTCTGCATGCAGATCTGAAAACAGGTAGAAATACATTTTTGTGAGGGCAGCCACTAGAGGGAGACAAGTTCATAACGAATAAACAAATACAACCTCTAGATGTAAATTAGAAGTACTTATGCTATAATGTTTTGTAGATCTATACAGTTATGTTATAAAAAAACCCCTGTGTATTTAAATGAAAATAGAAATAGGCACTTGATAATCTGCAGGGCAGTGCTTTTAAGTATGCCCAAGTATCCACAGTGCAATTTATAAAGCATGATGTGGTGGTTCTTCAAAACAACCTCCATCCACCTGCTTAAATCCCTAGGGATATTTTCTTTATCAGTCAGTTGATTATATTTAGTTTTGGTATTTTACTTTCTCATTTGTTTGAGATTTGGGGGTTGATTTGCAGCTAGTTTATTTTTTTACTCACCCCCTTTATAACTGGGTAATAGTGCCTACTATTTTGGGAACATATCTTGATTCATAAATCAGAAAAGGATCTTTATTCTGTCACATTTTTAATTATAATTCTCTAACTGAACGTAATTTGCTACTTTTATACTTGAATTATTTAAGCTTTACAAATCTGCAGCCTAGAGTGACATGTTGAACAGCAAGACACAATATTTAACATCTGTGAGATAAAGATATATATATAATTGAAATTCCTCGATACAGATTAAAATCTGATCTTTTTTAATTGTACATCTGTAGTACTGTAATGCAAATAGATGGACAGGCTCTAATTCTCCTGAGATGCATAAAGGCTACTATAGAACTTTAAGAAAATGTTTACTCCCTTCTAGG